CTTTTAAAAAAATAGTGTCTGACAACCGTGATAAAATTGAATTTTATTGTACTACGTGGGAAAAATGAAACATCAGTAAGCTTTCTAAAATAGTGTAGAACACAATGATAAAAATTGATTTTATTGTACTTGTAGAAAAGAGCACAGTAATGCTTTTCTAAAATAGTGTCTACAGCGTGATACCATTGAATTTTATTGTACTGGTGGAAAAATGAACACAAGTAAGGCTTTTTAAAAAATAGTGTCTTACACGCGTGATAAAATTGATTTTATTGTACTGGTGGAAATGAACATCAAGTAAGGGCTTTTTAAAAAATAGTGTCTTACACGCGTGATAAAATTGATTTTATTGTACTGGTGGAAAATGATCATCCAGTAAAGCTTTCTAAAAAATAGTGTCTGACACGCGAGATAAAATGATTTTGTTGTACTGGTAGAATTGAGAAAACGCGGCCTATCTGCGTCGGTACATCATTTCCTACTCGCACAATAAAACGCTCTTTTCAGCGTTCTCCTCGTATGACAAGGCAGTGTGTTTGAGGCAGAGGGCATCGGGACGGCGACGGGCCGGCGCCGTGTTCTAATGCGGCTGCGCACGGGGGCCGTGCTGCTGTTCCTGCGCCTGGCGCGGCGCTGGCCCACGCTCTGCGCCGCTGGGCCGCGGTTCGAGCTGGAGCAAGTGCCCGCTGGTGCTGGCCCCGCCGGGTGCGCAAGCAGCGCGCGCCTCTGGCCGCGCGCCAAATCCACGCTCAGCTACGGTGAGCGCATACAATCACACGAACACACTATACGTGTTGGGTGGTGGCGTTGGCACACACACACGCACCACAACCCACACACACACACGCCCACCACACACGCACACACACACGCACCACACACGCTACAACACACGCACACACAACACCGCCCCACACAATCACATCACCACACACGCACACACACCGCAACCCACGCACATCAACACACGCACACGCACACCGCACAACAACGAGCACGCACACACACATCGCACACGCACACGCACACACACACAAACAATCACACACGTTACGCTACACACATACACACACGCACACATCGTTCTCACACACGTAAACAAACGCAAAAATTGATTTTATTGTACTGGTGGAAAATGATCATCAGTAAAGCTTTCTAAAAAATAGTGTCTGACACGCGAGATAAAATTGATTTTGTTGTACTGGTAGAATTGAGAAACGCGGCCTATCTGCGTCGGGTCACATCATTTCCTACTCGCACAATAAAACGCTCTTTTCAGCGTTCTTCCTCGTATGACAAGGCAGTGTGTTTGAGGCAGAGGGCATCGGGACGGCGACGGGCGGCGCCGTGTTCTACGGCTGCGCCACGGGGGCCGTGCTGCTGTTCCTGCGCCTGGCGCCGCGCTGGCCCACGCTGCTGCGCCGCTGGGCCGCCGTCGAGCTGGAGCAAGTGCCGCTGGTGGGCTGGCCCCGCGTGCGCCGCAGCGCGCGCCTCTGGGCCGCCGCCATCTTCACGCTCAGCTACGGTGAGCGCATACACACACACACGCACACACACACGCACACACACACGCACACACACACGCATACACACACACGCACACACACATACACACACGCACACACACATACACACACAAACACACACACGCACACACACATACACACACACGCACACACACATACACACACATACACACAATACATACAATACACACACAAACACACACACGCACACACACACATACACACACACGCACACACACACATACACACACGCACACACACACATACACACACGCACACACACACACACACACACACACATACACACACACGCACACACACATACACACACGCACACACACATTCACACACATTCACACACATACACACACATACACACACATACACACACATACACACAATACATACATTACACACCCATACATGCACTATGTGTTCAAAAGAATTCGGACACGTGGCTGAAAATGACTTACCCGCTCGTAGCGCTCTCCATCGGTTATGCTGGTATTCAATAGGGTGTTGGCCCACTCTTAGCCTTAAATGAAATCGTGGGTTCCGCGGCCAGAGTCATGTGCGTGATCTGGGCTGTCCGGGTGACGCCGCGTCGAGGGCTGTGTTGCCGACGTTTCGACCATCTTGTCGTGGGTATGTCCTCAGGGCTGGTATGCTTACCCAGACCACCATTAGGTGATGGAAGGTTTCTTGGGGAATGGAAGCCCATTCTTCACGGAGTGCCGCACTGGGGAGAGATATCGATGTAGATCGTTGAGGCCGGCGCTCCAAAACATCCCAAAGGTGTTCGATAGGATTCAAGTCAGGACTCTGAGCAGGCCAGTCCATTTTATAGATGTTATTGTAGTGTAACCACTCCGCCACTAGCCGTGCAGTATGAACAGGTGCACGATCGTGTTGAAGGGTGCAATCGCCATCCCCTAATTGCACGTCAACAATGCGAAAGAAGGTGTTTAAAATTTCAACAAAGGCCTTTACAGCGATAGTGTCGCCCAAAACAGCAAGGGGTGAAAGCCCCTTCCATGAAAAACACGCCCACACCCTAACACCATTTTGGACTGTCCGGATACTTTTGATCACGTAGTGTATCTTATTCACGGCCGAGCACTTGCAATCCTCATTCTGAACTACGGTGAGCGATGAACGCACCACCACACAAAGATCTCAGGTAGGGAACAGTACCCACAATTCTTTCAGCTACAGTGAGCGCGTATACTACCCACACACACAGACATACACACGTGTGCTCGCACACACCTGACCTCATGGAACATTAAGCACACACAAACCACACCCTCGGCTGTGGTGAGCGTATCCACCTACCCACGCACACTGATCTCAGGCAGTCACACAGAAACCCCACGATTATCAACGGTGAGCCAAGGTACAACACCAGCAATCCTCACTGTGAGGAATTATGTTTCAGAAGAAATCCGTCTTTCTTTCTCTCTCACACACACAGTCCTCTTCCTTAGCAATTGCAAGAGCAGAGCACATTTTCTCTCTTTCTAACTATATCTCTTTTTCTCTTCCTCTCCCTCCCTCTCCCTCCCTCTCCCTCCC